GCAGCATGGTCCTGTCAGCAGCATGGTCCTGTCAGCAGCATGGTCCTCTTAGCAGCAAGATCCTGTTTGCAGCAAAGATCTTGTTAGCAGCATGGTCCTGATAGCAGCATGGTCCTGTTAGCAGCATGGTCCTGTTAGCAGTGTGGTTCTGTTAGCAGCATGGTCCTGTTAGCAGCATGGTACTGTTAGCAGTGTGGTTCTGTTAGCAGCATGGTTCTGTTAGCAACATGATCCTGTTAACAGCATGGTCCTGTTAGCAGCATGGTACTGTTAGCAGTGTGGTTCTGTTAGCAGCATGGTACTGTTAGCAGTGTGGTTCTGTTAGCAGCATGGTACTGTTAGCAGTGTGGTTCTGTTAGCAGCATGGTTCTGTTAGCAACATGATCCTGTTAACAGCATGGTCCTGTTAGCAGCATGGCACTGTTAGCAGTGTGGTTCTGTTAGCAGCATGGTACTGTTAGCAGCATGGTCCTGTTAGCAGCATGGTCCTGTTAGCAGCATGGTACTGTTAGTAGTGTGGTCCTGTTAGCAGTGTGGTTCTGTTAGCAGCATGGTCCTGTTAGCAGCATGGTACTGTTAGCAGTGTGGTTCTGTTAGCAGCATGATCCTGTTAGCAACATGATCTTGTGTGGTCCTGTTAGCTGCATGGTACTGGTAATATTTGTGGTAACCATAAAGTGCAGCAAAGCATGTCCAGATGGCGAGCACCACATCCGGGTTGGGAAGCTGCACATTGTGAAAACATTATGAAAATAAAACCATCGGGATAAGGGGAGCTATGGAGGGGAAGGGAGGCACCAACTTTCTTAGGGGTTTCCTTTTAGGGGTTCTCTCCTTGGTTGTGCCCCTGGTGTCTTTTTAGGTAACAACCTAATGTTCAGCTATAACAGACCAAAAGACGGTCAAGCCCATGCTCAATTATTGCTTTTTAACTTGATGTAACTTTCTTATCATCAAGGGTTTAAACTCCATTTTCCAAACTGAGAGCATTCAAAAAGCTATCTAAAGCAGGTAAGACAATAACTGTTTGTAACCTACCTGTTGAACTGCACTTCGGAGGATCTGAACTACCGCTTTAAGGCGGTGGGACTGCCGTGATTTTCAGTGAAGAACTCCTGTTTACTTGTTCTGAAACACAAAAAAACTAAACATCCAGAATCAAAACCAAGATGCACAGTTCTGTGAGCCCCAAAAAAATCTGTTAGACTTTTATTTTACTAATAAAAACTTTGATTTTCATTTTGTATATGGTGAAAATGTGCATGACACAACTGTTTGCACAAGAAGTGTGCACAAGTTCACCACAGCTTTTCGATTGATGGCTGTTCTACACATGTTTGCATCACTGATTTTTATTCTTCTGTGTTTCACTGCTGTCAAAGTTTCCTTCGTTGTGATAAATATGAAATATTGTTCTTAGATCAAAGAAAAGAAAACCTGTCGTTTGTCCTGGCGGTGACTCTGCCTCTTGTTTGTGCACGTTTTGCCCAGCAGATCCGTCCCCTCTTCCTTTGGACACCCACCTGTTACGTCACGGAGCCAGACTGGGCCTAATTAAAACCATGTTGAGAAAGAGCATAAAACTCCAGCCCCCTTCGTCTCTCAGCTCACAGACCGGCGTCCTGACGTGGATTTTGGTCGAAGGAGAGACACGAAGAGCTTCGAGTTAATTTGTAACCACGCACAAAAAAAAAAAACAGCTTAGAGGAAAGATTTGAAAACAGAATCATGGCAGGACTCAAGGTACGTCGACGTTAACTTTAATGCTTCTTGCATGAATATTTGTGCAGCAGTACTTTAACGTGTGCACGACGGTGCAAAGATGATGCAGAGCTGTGTTTTAAAGCAAAGTGTGTGACACATTGAACGTTTTGAGTCTCATCATTGTGGCAGCAGCTGAGCGGCGGACTGAAGGGAGGCGTTCCCTCCAGCCAATCAGAGAGCTGCATTCAGCAGCTGCCCAGATGTGGCCTGAAACTTCCCAACAACCTCAGCGCAAATGCCTTGAGTCAATAATAAAACTGTATTTCTGAAGTTTTTCACAGTATCTTATTTCACTTCAACATAAAAACAGTTCTAAAACATTTCAAATTAAAAGCCTAGAGTAATGTCAGTTTGAACTAGAATCTTAAATTGAGAAATAATGTTTTAAACAAACAGAAGTAATGTCAAGAGGAATCTCGTGCCGTGTTGTTAGATCCCACACTTTTAGTTTCTTTTCAACTTCTAGACCTCTTTCTCTTTCTTTTGCAGCTTTAAATAAAATAAATAATTCAGTAAATTCCAGCTTTATTTGCATCTCCACAAACACAGGCGCACATCTGGCAACCATCTACTACTGCAAACTAACAGTGACTCAGCAAACCGAGCTCACATCTGCCCGGAGCTCGAGCTGAAATTGGATGGGAGACAATTAGAGGAAAACATTATCTGTCATGGTTGGGACATTCCTGGTCAAAGATTAACCCTGGTTAAATTTTGACCAGTAAAAAGACCAGCTGATGTCCAAGAGGCATCCATCAATTCATCCCACCTCAATAAAACTTCCAACCAGAGAAAAGAGAATTTAGCAAACTTAACAATTGACAAAATTAAATTTTTAGTACTAGCCCTTGATTGTTTCACCACGATCCCGGACGAGCCCCCAATTGTTACAGCCTGGCGCGACAACAGCGGCCAGGATGTAATTAAACACGGACGTTTCCATCTTCTGCACCACTCAATCAGCCACGGAGTCGATGGAAATGTGTCAGAACAATGCTTTTATTTACAATTGTGAATATTATTGAAGTTTTTGGAGTCTTACCAACATCAGGGTGAGCCCAGGCCATAACAACAAAAACAACCACCTAACTACTATTTCTCTCTTACCTGAATTAAATAAAATGATCCAAAATACAGGTCTCTTACCTGAACTTAAGCCAACACAAATCAGGAGAAAAAGGTCTTAAAATTAAGTGGCAGATCACCCCTACACACTCCTCGCAAAACGATTTACAACTAACTCATGTGATGAGCGGCAGCCGGTCAGCTGTGGCTGGTTGGGGGGAGCAGAGCGAGTGGAAGTCGACGCAGTTTAGTTTAGTTTATTAAAAAATCTCAGATTTATTTTGAGCGTTCTCTGTTTGTCCGTTTTATTCAGTACATGTCTGGTTTTGGGAACGAGCTCTCTTCTGAAGACCCCAGATGTCCTGGATCCTTACCTGAAGGGCAGGTAGCACAAAAATGTCCACTTGTCTTTTCAGGATTTGTGTGTTTTGTTCAGATTACACTGTTGCAGGTGAACTAAACACCACGCATTAATAGCATGTTGTTCATATGTTGTACCTGTGCAGAACAATCCTCAGGTCTGTCCTTACGGTCTCTACGCTGAGCAGCTCTCTGGCTCTGCCTTCACCTGCCCACGTCCAGCCAATAAAAGGAGGTCTGAGACTTTCAACGAATAAACCGATGAATCACGAGCATCATGGATGACTCAACTCTATCCTGTCATTTCCTGCAGCTGGCTGTACCGAATCCTCCCATCTGTCAAACATAAGCCTTTCACGCCTGTGCCCTGTGGAGATCTGACAGAGAACTGGGATGAAGTGGAGCCTGATCCCAACCAGGTATAATGCACCCCCATACCATCAGAGAGGCTGGTTTTTGAACTGGGTGCTGATAGACTGAATGGTCCCTCTCCTCTTTAGTATGGAGGTTGTAGCATTAGTAGATTAAAAAATAGAATGTTCCGACCACGGATTATTTTCCCACGCTGCCTCTCTATTTTAAAAAAGAGTTTTGGTTGAGAGAAGATGGCGGCGTTTCTAGATGCTGCTCACGATCAGCATTTGTGGCGCAGTGAACTGTGTTTCAGTGATTTGTGGAAGTGTTCGTGAGCCCGTTCTGTTCTCACAAACAGCTGCGATGGCTGCCGTTCACCATCACCAAGCCCACAGAGAAGAAGGTGGACTTTGTCGCTGTGAGTCCACCTGGCTCTTTCTCACCATATTTGATCAAATGTTGATTCTCTGCTTATTGATGAATATTGTGTTTTTCATTTTGCTTCAGGGTCTTCATACCATCTGTGGTGCAGGAGATGCCAAATCTCGTAACGGCATTGCGGTTCATGTGTACACCTGCAACACCTCTATGACCGACAGGTGAATGTGCTCGATGAAAAACGTGCAGTTCTTCTCATTAACAGTATAAACGTCTGGGTGGTGCTTAGATGATTCCAAAGTGATTGTTCCAACCTTTTAGGTGCTTCAACAATTCAGATGGAGACTTCCTGATTGGTGAGAGAAAGTGTTGTTAAAGTTCATTAGCGTCTGTTTTCCGCTTCAAGCGCTCTCGTTTGAGTTCCTTGTTTGTGCCGGCAGTTCCTCAGCAGGGTGAGATCTTGGTCACCACGGAGTTTGGCAAGATTATGGTGGAGCCGAACGAGATCTGTGTCATCCAAGTAGGTTCTTCGGTTTTCCCAAATTCTACTTTTCCACACGCACTCTCCTGTAACCAGATTTAGAAAGCCATGGTTTGGCACTTTTCAGACGTGACCCGAGGATAAAAGTGGAACGAGGTTACGAGTTATGGACGGTCTGACCGTCAGGACTGGGACTGCTGCGTGTTTCCAAACACATGATTAGTCCCCTAAGCACAGGCGCTGCCCACATTTGCAGCAGAACAGCACTAAATTTCCCTCTAACCGCCACTTTTCTTGTTTTTATTTTGCAGCAAGGGATGCGCTTCGGCGTGGACGTGTTTGGAGAAACGCGAGGCTACGTTCTCGAGGTGTACGGAGCCCATTTCGAGCTGCCTGACCTGGGGCCTATAGGTTTGTGTTTGTCACGAAAACACTGGGTGTTCATCCCTTAAAAACACAACAACTGCACAAACGCCACTTTGCTTCTGTTTCCAGCGCAACGCTATTGTTGTCAAAATTGTTGACACTTATCTCTGAAAATCTGTGGATTTTTAGCCATGCTAACCGGATTTATCAGACAATTTGGCTCTCGCAGTCAGGCCTTCCTCGGAAAGTAAAATTTGAGATTATTGTAAGTTTTCGTCTGCTGTCGAGTCCTTTTCTTTGCCTGAAGTGTTTGGTGCGAAACAAAATGTTTGACAAACTAAAAAGCATTAGTCTCAGCTGTAATTTGGATTTTTGTACAATAAAAAACACGTGCTAAAATTTATATTCTGGTGACCTTAAAAAGATTAAACAAATTGCAGTGATTAATGAAACAGTAGCTAGAAGCTAGACTTTATAAAACCATAACTAAAAGCTAAAATTAACTAAACCATAGCTAAAACCAACAATTGTCAAAACTATAGCTAAAAGAAGAATAGCACAAAATTTGTTAAAATAATGAAAACTAGCTAAAAGCTACAATTAGCAAAACAAGCTTAAAACTAAATGTAGCCAAACAATTGCTAAAAGTAGGAAAAAAGTAGCAAAAAGCTAATTGGAGCAAAACAGCAGCTAAAATTAGACAAGCTGTACATAATAGCTAATATTGAAAAAAAAACTAGCATGAAATAAAAATGAGCAAAACAGCAGCTAAAAGCTACAATTACCAAAACAATCTTAAAGCCAAATGAAGCAAAACAGTTGCTAAAAACAACATTTAGGAAAATAGTAGCAACAAGTTAATTGCAGCTAAACAGTGGCTAAAATAAGCTAAACTATACATAACAGCTAATACTTAGAAAACTGTAGCATAAACGAAAAATGAACAAAACAAACTAAAAGCTAAATGAAGCAAAATAATGACCAAAAAACAAATTCATGAAAATATTAGCAAAAACCTAATTGTAGCAAAACAGTGGCTAAAATGAGCTAAACTGTGCACAACAGCTAATACTGAGAAAACTGTAGCATAAAGTGAAAATGAGCAAAACAGCAGCTAAAAGCTACAATTAGCTAAACAAGCTAAATGCTAAATGTAGTAAAACAGTTAATAAAAACTAAATGTAGAAAAACAGTAGCAAAAAGCTAATTGCAGCAAAACAGCGGCTAAAATTAGCTAAACTGTACATAACAGCTAATACTGAAAAAAATGTAGGACAAAACAAAAATGAGCAAAAATAGCAGCTAAAAGCTACAATTAGCCAAGCAAGCTAAAAGCCAAATGTAGCTAAAAAGTAGCTAAAAACTAAATTTAGGAAAAATAATAGCAAAAAGCTAATTGCAACAAAACAGCAGATAAAATGAGCTAAACAGTATATAACAGCTAATACTGAGAAATATGTAGAATAATATAATGAAAATGAGCAAAACAGCAGCTAAAAGCTTAGCAAAACAATCTAAATGCCAAATGTAGCAAAACAGTTGCTAAAAACAAAATTTAGGAAAATAGTAGCCAAAAGCTAATTGCAGCAAAACAGCGGCTAAAATTAGCTAAACCGTGCATGACAGCTAATACTGAGAAAACTGTAGCATAAAATGAAAATGAGCAAAACAGCAGCTAAAAGCTAGAATTAGCAAAACCGTAACTTAATCCTAAATGTAGTTTAATTGTAGATTAAAGCTAAAATGGGCAAGACAGTAGCTAAACGTAAAAAAGAGCATAAAACGAAAACAGTTAGTTTACTTGAATAGATTTCAGAAAATGTTTTTTGAAACTTCAAACTTGAAAGTGCAGAAAAGCCCAGAAGAATCTACAAACAGGTAAACAACGGTGTGGATGCTGAGCTTCTTTAATGTCTTTGTAAGCAGACGTGTTCTTTAAAACCCTATTCTTGTTTGATTTGATTACTTCTGAGGACTGGGTCTTACTCTGAGGCGTTGACTTTATTGGTATTTACAGGAGCCAATGGTCTGGCCAACCCCAGAGACTTCCTGTGTCCAGCTGCCTGGTACGAGGATCGCAAAGTGCCCACTGGTTACACCGTCATCAACAAGTACCAGGGGAAGCTGTTTGCTTGCCAACAGGTGCTTATTGTGACATTTAATTCTGTGTGTCACTGCAGCCGTCGCACACACTGTCTGAGCGGGACACGCACGTCGCACACTTGCCCTATTACCCTATTTAGGTTTGAGTTTGCTTCAGTAAACACCATCAAGCTGCCACAGCGGCTAACAGGAAACGGTCCAAGTGAAGCATGTGATCCATTAGCTGCTCCTGCCGGCTGGATTGCCATCCCTGATGATTTAATATCCAAGCTTTAGCTGTTATCCTTTCACTCGCTTTCCGCCTCGACTCCCATATGAGTCTTAATCACTCATAATTAGTTAAGGCATTCTGGAGCTGCAGATGGCGTACCTGCGAAGCTTTGCATCGCAGCAAGAAAAAACACCTTTTTCCAAGTAAAGCGTTAATTTCACCATATTTCTCTCAGGAAATGATCCGCCCTCTCCTCTCCCGTTGGGCGCATAATCGACACATAACGCCCGACATCAATTACGTTTTAAACTGATTCAAGGAGGAGAGGTCTGACAAATGTAGGGGTCAAAGGTCAAGAACACCACGTCAAACTAGAGAAATTAGAATGTCTGTGAAAACGCAATGTCAACGCTGAGTCATGACTTTGCTGAAGCAGCTGAAACTGAGCTGAAGCAAAACACT